ACCCCCAGGCTCAGCACCCCCAAGCTCAGCACCCCCAGTAGTAGCACCCTAAGGCTCAGCACCCCCAGGCTCAGCACCCCCAGGCTCAGCACCCCCAGGAGTAGCACCCACACGCTCAGCACCCTTAGGCTCAGCACCCTCAGAAGCACCAGAGTCACCAGTAACCTAGACAGGCTCGACTGCGTCTACCTGGGACACACCTGAAGGGGCATGACCCTGAGGGGGGAGGGGGTCTACCGGGGGGGGATCTGGTACAAGGAAGATCGGTGGCGGGGGGAGGGACGGAGTGCGGTAGGGGAAGAGGCGGTAGTAGGGGACCGACTCGTCAGACGTGACATCCTGAGAGGACAGAACACGGCGCGAGGTGGGGTGGCAGAACTGCCACCCGGGCGCGTCAGAGGGGAAACCCAGGAAGACGCAAGGAGCAGCACGAGGGGACAGCTTGTCCGCAGACAAGTCGCGGACAAACACCCGAGATCCCCAGACACGGAACGCAGAAGCATCGCCAACCTTCCCCGTCCACAGCAAAGCTGGGGAGGTCTCCGGCCTGGAGACTCTGGGGTGAAGGTTGATCTGATGCGCCACGTACCTCACCGCAAACGGCCACAGAAAATGGGGGGCAGCCGCATGCATCATGGACGTACGAGCGACGTCCATGACCATGCCAATGCGGCGCTCAACAATCCCATTTTGCTGTGGAGAGTCCGGAAGCGTGAAGGTCTGACGGATGCCTCATGCACGACAGTAGGCTCTCAGAAGGCCAGAGGAGAACTCTCCGCCTCTGTCAGAGTGCAGACGCAGAACAGGAAAGTCCGAGCCGAAGCTCTGCCTGAGCTGGAGACGAGCTGCGCGGATCCAGTCGATTAACACCTCAGTGACATCACCCTTGCTACGCAAGAGGAAGACTGCGGTGTAACGCGAGTAGTCGTCAACCACCAGCAGGAAGTAGCGCTCGTGACCCTATCCACGGACGCGGGCTGGGCACCACACGTCCATGTGAAGCGTTTGCAGCGGGGCCTCTGTCGGAGGAAACTGGGAGGAGTGAGGGGCAGCCCGCTGCCGCCCCTCGACACAGGGGACACTGGTAGGGCCAGGCCCCTGAGGAAGGGGAGGGAGGGACCGGGGAACAACCAGAAACAAGGAAACGGGAGGCCATGCCTCTAAGACGAAGCAGAGAGGGGTGACCAAGGCGGTGGTGCCAGAGGAGAGTCTCGTGAGACAGGAGACGACACGAACAGGGGGCAAACTCAGGACCAGACCTGGACGCTGCAGCAAACACCTGACCCGACACAGCTACCCGACCAGACTCAGTGACTGGAGGAGACTCAGTGGTCAGTGTGTAAACGTGGCCAAGTGATGGCCTGTCCGAGCCTCAGTGCAGTGTGTCACCCGTTGACTCGCAGGAGTGAACAGGTGCACTCCCCCATCCTGTAGGTCAGCACCACTCACCAAGTTCGTAGAGAACGAGGGGAGGTAAAGACCAGACAGGGTGCCAGAGGGAGCCGCCGGACACGGGAGGACTGTGGAGAAGTGAGCAAGGACAGGACCCCCAGAGGGGTCTGCCGGAGACACCGCAACCGGCCGACCAAGCGGCGTGAGTGTGGTGCGGTCTCGAAAGAAGGAGCGAGAAGCCCCGGAGAGGGTGAAGGTGAGGGAGGCCGAAGCCGACGCAGTACCTGAGAGAGCAGACTCACCAGCACCTGAGGACGCAGACGCACTAGCACCTAGAGCAGCAGCCTCGCAAGCACCTAGGGCAGCAGCCTCACCACTACCTAGAGCAGCAGTCTCAATGCCCGGATCGGGCGGGAAACACTGGTAACAGTCAGCCTCATCACTAATAGTCACAGCATACATGGCAGAAAGAATAGCATCAAAGTCAAGGTCAAAGATAGCAACTCCTGCCCTAGACAGCTCGCCCCAGCGAGGGATCTCTGTGGCCTCAGGGAACAGGTGACGCCACGCGTCCGTCAGGCGGCCAAAGCAGCGCTGGGTGGGGTGCTCACCCCCACACTGCTCACCCGCGCGGTCGCCTGTGCGCAGAACGTAGGTGCACGGACCAGTACCCCCACCCTGCTGGCGTGCAGCGTACCACTCACGGAGCTGCTGAGGGGACAGGGTCTCACGACCGCGCTGTTGCTGCTGTCGCGAACCACCACCAGAGCCACTCCTCTGCGTAGAACCACAACCAGCTCCAACGCCACCTCCGCCACCTCCGCCGCCTCCGCCACCGCCACTGCCTCCGCCACCACCGCCGCCTCCGCTCCCACCGCCACCACCGCCTCCGCCTCCGCCTCCACTTCTGCCACCGGCACCCCCACCCTCGCCACCACTCCCACCACCACCCCCACCCCCTCCGCCGCCTACACCACCGCCCCCACCGCCCCCGCCAGCTCCTCCAGCGCCCTTGCCCCCCTTGCCCTTGCCTGTGCGGCGCTTCCCCGAAGGGGCAGACGCACACCGACCGACTCAAAACCAACAAGGTCGGCCACAGCAGCAGAAGCAACAGAGGGCAAGAGGGGGGAGGGAGAACACCCCTCAAAGACGGGGGTGCAAGGGTCACCACGAGAGGCTCCTATAGCGACTATGCTCTTCTCCGCTGCTAGGAGGGCCTTCTCGAGGAGGTCAACTGTGAGAGTGGTGGGGCACACGGCAAGGAAGTGGTCCCTGACTACGCGAAGGGAGTCAGGGAGCCGGGTGACTATGTAGTAGAGGGTGATATACATGGGGGGGGGGGGGGGGGTTCTTGGCACAGAACTCAGCAAGAAGCGCAGCGCGGTAGCGGGTGTCGCTAGTGCGGAGGTGCGTAATGAGGTCAGCGACTGTGTGAAAGGCAGCAAGGTCAGGGAAGAGGTACGGTAGCATGAGGCGGCTCAGTGCAGCAGTGGCAGGGGAGGAGTAGCGTGCAACTACAGCGTCGTACAAGGTCTGAGCACTCTTGTACTTACTAAAGTGCGCACGCTCAGAGGTAGGGAGGTGGCGATGCACAGCAAGACGTGTAGTAGCGTCGCGCGTGGCCCACTGTGAGCGAACAGTGGCGTCAGCATCAGCAGCAGGGGCAGGAGAGGCACAAGAGGTGAGGTTAAAGAGAGAGAGACCATCTGCCCTATCGCACTGTAGGAAAAGCTGGAGGTCATCTACCCAGACGTCAAAGGCAATGGCACGACCCTCAGCGTCAAAAGCGAGGACACTAGGGGTAGCCATGACAGCAGCAGACTAGCAGTGCGAACAGTAGGGTAAGGGCAGTGCAGTGACAGAGGCGCCGCACTTACCGGACAGGGCTGCTCGGGCGGCTCGGCAGTGCGGGCGGCTCGGCTGTAGGGCGGCTCGGCAGCTCGGCTGCTCGGCGGCTCGGCGGCTCAGCGACTCGGCAGCTGGGCGGCTCGGCGGCTCGGCTGCTTGGCGGCTCGGCTGCTGGGTGACTCGGCGGCTCTGCTGCTGGGCGGCTCGGCGGCTCGGCTGCTGGGCGGCTCGGCTCAGTGGCTCGGCTGTGGCGGCTCCTGCCTCCGGGACGACGGCGGCCGCCCGCTCGCGGGGCCAGGTGGGGCGGCGGCTCGAGGGTAGGTGGAGCGGCGGCTCGAGGGTAGGTGGAGCGGCGGCTCGAGGGTAGGTGGAGCGGCGGCTCGAGGGTAGGTGGAGCGGCGGCTCGAGGGCAGGTGGGGCGGCCGCGGGGTCGGGAAGGGCGGCGCTGGGGCTGCAGGAGTAGGCGTCGGGGCTGGGTAAGGTGGCGCACAGCGGGCCGACGGGCGGCTCGTGGGGCCGCAAGGTCGGCGACGGCGGGCCGTAAGAGGGCGGCGCGAGGGGCCGCGGATGTCGGCGGCGTGCCGTAAGGCGGAACGCGAAGCCGGGAAGGGCGGCAACGGGCCGTTACGGGCGGCGCTAGGGGCCGTAGAGGACGGCGCCGAGCCGTTAGGGCGGCGCGACGGGCCGGGAAGGGCGGCGCCGGGCCGCGAAGGGCGGCGACGAGCCGAGCACGGCGGCGACGGGCCGCGTAAGGGCGGCGACGGGCCGCGAAGGGCGGCGACGGGCCGAGTAAGGGCGGCGCGAGGGGGGGGCGTTAGGGGCGACGCGACGGGGTCGAAGGAGGCCTAGGGAGGGCGCGACGGTAGAGAGGGCATACGAGGCGTGACTCGGGCCTAAGCGGAGCGCGCTCCGGGCAGAAAAAAAAAGGTTCGTAGTGATGGGCCCTAGGAATCGTTCCCGTTAGGGTACCTGCTCGATACCATGAGAAGAAACGAGAATGAATGAACTATGAAAGAAGTGGGTACAAGTACTAACCCTAATTGGGTTGTACCCCCTATGGGATACCCCACTACAGCCTACACAATATGTATAAGCTACAATGTTCCGATAGAGAAGTGTACGCAACCTGGCATGCACCTAAATAGCGTTCCTAGGCTAAGTTGCATGCGCCTGAAAATGGCAGGATTTTTTCGGTCTGAATCGAACAAAAGCCACCCCCCCCCCCCCCCCCCCCCCCCCCCTTCAAATTCGGGTGTACACCCCTAAATCGCATAAGTGTACTTGATTGATGAGTGTACCCGGGACTCTTACAACTCGTGCCGATTAAATGTTCACCCTAGTCATTTTGCCTCTATTTTAGGAAAGTCCCCCGGGTCTTATATCTGGGATATTACGGTAATCCACATTTCTTCTTACGAATGTGATTACATTATGATATGTCTTCCATCCGGCCGCAGCCAATAAGCCACCCACCCCAACTCCATATGAACTACAATACCTACAGGGGGCTTTCATAGCGATGCGAGAATTAGTCTACCGTACCATCACAAGCCAAATGTGTTGTATGCCGTTACTAAGACACATCATTTCAGGAAGGACTAGAAGAGTCATCCACGGTAAGCACGTCTTTGAAATATCTTGACCACATTAGGAGCCTCGCAAAGTTTTGAATCGCGTTGCTTGCTCGCTCTCTACACCAGTGTCACCAATTTAATGCCTACTCCTATCTTCACTCACTCTTTCTTTTCACGTTTCACTTCTCATCCCCTTGCTCTCCTTTCCTCACCCCGGTTGTCCTGTCTCCTTCCTCCTCGTCCATCCCCTCGCTCCTTACTCTCTTCAATTCCACCTCTCCTCTCTTGTCTCACCCCCCGGGGCACATCCTCCCAATCATCCACCCTCACGCTCCTCTCGCCTTCATGCCGGATGCCATGCCCTTCCCTGCTGTGCCTCATGCTGTCCCTGCTCACATCTCTGATCATCCGCCCCTCAAAGCTCTCTTCTGTCCTTGTATATTTTTCCTCCCTGCTCTCCTCCCTGCTCCTTTTTACCTCCCTGTCCTCGTCTCTGCACCTCCGCTCACTATCACGCCACTTTGTCGACTCATGCCCGCCTGCTTCCCTCCTCTCACTCCTCCCCTTCTCCCTCCCTGGACTCACAACTTCATCCCTTGAATACCCACTATGCCTTCCCCTTCTGCCTCCCTCCTCATGCTCCTCTTCATCCTTCCCTCTTCTCCCCTCTCCACCCCTCACTCTCATTCCTCCCTCTTCGTCTCTCCTCTTCCTGTCAACCCCTCGTCCTCTCTCACGGTCCTCCTCCCTCCAGCGGTACTCCTCTCTGCCATGCCCATCGTGCCCACGCCGCCTGTCCCCACTGCCTGCATCGGGCCTCCCTGGCCTCTCCTCCATTTGTCCCCGATGCTCCTCCTCCTCGCTGTCAGAAGCCCCGCCACGCCCTCTCTTCCCATCGTCCACCCTCACAGATTTGACACCTCTCCTCCCCCTCATCATTTCCTCATGCTCTCTATCCAATTCTACGTCTCTCCTTTCCCACTTCTTCCTTCCCTCCTCAGCCTCCTTCACACTCTTCTCGTCCTCCTTCCGCTGTCTTCCCTTCTCTGCATCCTTCCACTGTCTTCCCTTCTCTGCATCCTTCCGCTGTCTTCCCTTCTCTGCATCCTTCCGCTGTCTTCCCTTCTCTGCATCGTTCCGCTGTCTTCCCTTCTCTGCATCCCTCTCCCTCCTCACACCCCCCCTCTCCTCTTCTGCCTCTCCACCACGGCTCGCTCCTCTCTCTCCCTCTCCTTCCGCATCCCACCTCCTCTTCCTCTCTCTCTTTCCATCCCTCCTCGGACTCGCACCACGTGCAGCTCCTTCCTCTCCTCCACCCCCTCGCTCCTCTCTCCCTGCAGTCACCCGAGCAGCAATCGCCCGGGCGCGAGCAAGGGCGTCGGCAGTGAGAGCAGCCACATCCACGCTGCCAGCAGCACTTTCTCTACGCTTCGTTCCCTCGCCCTCCCCCCTCCTCTTCGCCACCCCTGCATGCACACTCCTCCGCCCTTCTCCCTCTGTCCTACCACCCCCCTCCTCGTCCCCGTCAAACACAAGCTCATAGCTGCCAGGCCAAGGTGCGAGGGACATAGAGGAGGGTGGGAGGGACAGAGGGGAGGGTGGTACAGAGGAGGAGCATTAGCGAGCATGGCCGAGCTGCTGGGAATGCTGAAGCAAATGATGCAAGGAGTAGTCAGTGCAACTGTCAACGCGTGAGTGGAGAAGGCACCCAGCTTCCACCACCTCACTGCACCTGCCCCATCCTTGCGCCTCCACCCAGCACCGCCCATCTCCACCTTGGCTTCTGCCACCCTTGCTGCCTGGTCAACGCATCAACTGCCACCTCCTTGATGCACTGCCACAATTCTTGCTTTGCTCACCTCACCTAGTCTTAAATCTTGTGTTGCTCACCTCTTGCCCTGCTCGCCCCACTGCCCGTGCCCTGACTCCTTCAGCTCAAGCCGCCTCTGCCCGCCCTGCCCCCCCTCTGCCTCCTCCTCGTCCTCCTCCCCGCCCCCACCCATCCCACCTCTCCCTCCTCCCGCATTCGGACACTCCCTCGCCATGTGCCCATCCTCCCTCGCCATGTGCCCATCCTCCCCACAGCTAAAGCACGACCGCATGCCACCGCGACCACCACCACCAACCCTCCCCCTTCCTCCTCTCCCTCCCCTCCCGCCACCAGCAGCACCAGCAGCGCCAGCATCAGCGGCAGCATGGGCGGAGTCCGAGGTGCCGAAGCGGCGAAAGCGCGACCAGAGGCGACCGACGCTCTGGCTGAAGTCCACGTGCACGCGGCGATCATCTATCAGCACCCCGTCCATCTGCTCTCCGCGGAGTCCGTGGGGGCAGTGGGCGTGTGGCGGAGAGGAGCAAGGCACGGAGTGGGGGAAGAAAGGGTATGGGTGAGGGCTTTGATCGCTTCCGCTGGGTTGACCATAAAACGTTTGTTGCTGGTAAAGATGGTGGAGAGCACAATTGCAATCATCAGGTTGCAATGGGCAAGTGTGATGAACACGGAGCAATGAGCACGGAGCAATGAGCAAGGAGCAATGAGCAAGGAGCAATGAGCAAGGAGCAATGAGCAAGGAGCAATGAGCAAGGAGCAATGAGCAAGGAGCAACGAGCACGGAGCAATGAGGAAGGAGCAATGAGCAAGGAGCAATGAGCAAGGAGCAATGAGCACGGAGCAATGAGCACGGAGCAATGAGCACGGAGCAATGAGCACGGAGCAATGAGCACGGAGCAATGAGCACGGAGCAATGAGCACAGAACAATGAGCACGGATCAATGAGCAAGGAGCAATGAGCAAGGAGCAATGAGCAAGGAGCAATGAGCAAGGAGCAATGAGCAAGGAGCAACGAGCACGGAGCAATGAGGAAGGAGCAATGAGCAAGGAGCAATGAGCACAGATCAATGAGCAAGGAGCAATGAGCAAGGAGCAATGAGCACGGAGCAATGAGCACGGAGCAATGAGCGCGGAGCAATGAGCACGGAGCAATGAGCACGGAGCAATGAGCACGGAGCAATGAGCACGGATCAATGAGCAAGGAGCAATGAGCAAGGAGCAATAAGCAGGGAGTGGCGGTGCATTCACCTTAAAGTAAGCCGCCTCACACGCCTCCTTTGTCTCAAACTCTGCATGCACGCAGGGAGGACACGGAGGGCGAGGGGGAGGGAGGCAAAGAAGGGAGGGGGGAAATAAAAAAAGAGGGGAAGAGGGGAAGGAAAAGAAGGGAAGAGAAGAGGTAACAATGGGGCAGAAGTGGAGAAGGGGGAGGGAAGGGAGAGGAAGGAGGGGTTTTGAAGGGAGAGAAGAAAGGAGAGGGGGGGAGGGAGAGATGAAGTGGCACCGATGGCAAGGCACTGCCTCATCGCCGGTCCATATACAACAGCATCGCCATCATACCCCATCAGCCCCATCAGCCATCATCCCGCCCCATCACCACCACCCCATCACCACCCCATCACCACACCCCATCACCACCCCATCACTATGCCCCGCACCAATGAAGCCGTAGCAGAGGCTGTCGCCCGTCTTCTGGTCTCGAATGATGTCCGCCCTGCACGGTGCAGTGCCATGTGGGGGGGTGGGATGTGATAATGAGGGGTGGGCAGGCACAGCGGCGATGCACAATGGAGCAGTGGTGAATGGGATGCTCTGGCAGTGCAGCGCAATGCATGAGTGTCCCGACGTCACATGGGTTGCAGCAGCACAAGTTGTTTAACAACCCAACAACGCTGGGAAAACCAGCAGGCAAGGTGTCGAATTGAAGCAATGGCATGAAAGAGCAGAGGAGTGGAAGGAAGGGGAGGAACTCACGAGAGGACCTTGCCGAATCGAGAGAAGATGATCTCCAAGTCGTCGTCCTGCGCCCATGCACCACATTGATTACACCCATGCATACATGCGATGCCATACATGCGATGCCATGCATGTGATGCCATGCATGCGATGCCATGCATGTGATGCCATACATGCGATGCCATGCATGTGATGCCATGCATGCGATGCCATGCATGTGATGCCATGCATGTGATGCCATGCATGTGATGCCATGCATGTGATGCCATGCATGTGATGCCATGCATGTGATGCCATGCATGTGATGCCATGCATGTGATGCCATGCATGTGATGCCATGCATGTGATGCCATGCATGTGATGCCATGCATGTGATGCCATGCATATGGCATACATCACAGCACATGTGCAAATGTGAAGCAAGTGAAAAGAGTGAGAGAGAAGATATTACAGAACATGCCAGAAAGGAGTGACCTGAGTGACGGGTGGGTGACCTGAGTGACGGGTGGGCGACCTGAGTGACGGGTGAGAGTGAATTGTCAGTAGTGACTGGAACACACCTGAGTGACGGGTGAGAGTGAATTGTCAGTAGTGACTGGAACACACCTGAGTGACGGGTGAGAGTGAATTGTCAGTAGTGACTGGAACACACCTGAGTGACGGGTGAGAGTGAATTGTCAGTAGTGACTGGAACACACCTGGGTGACGGGTGAGAGTGAATTGTCAGTAGTGACTGGAACACACCTGAGTGACGGGTGAGAGTGAATTGTCAGTAGTGACTGGAACACACCTGGGTGACGGGTGAGAGTGAATTGTCAGTAGTGACTGGAACACACCTGAGTGACGGGTGAGAGTGAATTGTCAGTAGTGACTGGAACACACCTGGGTGACGGGGTTGAGCTTGCAGATGAAGAGCACATTCTCGGGCGGCTTGAACTCCGCCTCGGGCAGATCGCCTATCTGGTGGGGTGAGGCGAGAGGACCACCGCAGGGGAAAGGTAGGGATGGCGTGAGCCTAGTGAGGGACAGAAGCCACCTCGCATTCCCCCACATCCCCCACTCTCTCACCATCTCAGCACCACTCTACCATCTCAGCACCCCTCTACCATCTCAGGACGACTCTACCATCTCAGGACCACTCTACCATCTCAGCACCACTCCATCGCAGCACCACTTGTGACAAATCTTGAAGATGAAACGATGGTTTGATAGGAGATGTGTGGGTTTACACAGTCGAGCTAGGATGGACGTTTGGTTGAGAACCTTGCCAACGTGATTGGCCACCACCAATAAGTTGGGTTGAGGAGTTATTGGGGGAACCAATAATGTGCACCAAAGTGGGTCAACATTATTTGGAGGGCCAGTAATCTCCCAACCCAGCATTGGGGCCCCAAACAATTGGGCCAAGGTTGGGTTCCAACCCCAAACTATGGGTAACCCTAGTTGTAAACCCAAACTATATTTGGGTGTCTATCTCTAACCTAAGCTGATGAGATAGATGCAGGTTACAATGAAGATGACAATCTGACACCACTCTCACCATTTCAGCACCACTCTCAACCGCTCTCACCATCTCCAGCACCACGCCTCTGGACTGTGCCTCTCTGCGGCGCACGTCGCGCTCCACCTCGTCCGCCGCCCGCCCCTCGTCCATGGGCACCCAGTCGTCCTCCAGCCGCACGTCCTCGCCCTGCCCGCCGCACGCACGGGAAAATTGGGAGTTGGTGGAGGGTGCAGCATACGGGGGGGAACAAAAGCAGCACACGAATAAGTTGGTCGGCCATGGGCACCCAGTCGCCCTCCAAACTCACGCCCAAGCCCTGCACAACGCACCCACGGGCCCTGGCAGGCAGGGGTGGGAGGAAGCACGGAATTGGGTAGCAGCACAGAAGCAGGAAGTGCGAAGGAGCGGGTGGTAAGGACGGAGTGTACAATGGGGAGTCGTGATGCGGTGCGGAGAAGATAGGGAAGGAAAGCAGCACACAAGTGAGGGTGGCTGAGAAGTGCCAGATACAAGGTCCAGATACAAGGTCCAGATACAAGGTCCAGATACAAGGTCCAGATACAAGGTCCAGATACAAGGTCCAGATACAAGGTCCAGATACAAGGTCCAGATACAAGGTCCAGATACAAGGTCCAGATACAAGGTCCAGATACAAGGTCGAGATACAAGGTCCAGATACAAGGTCCAGATACAAGGTCCAGATACAAGGTCCAGCGCATTGACATTTTGGAATGGACTGACGTCAGCAAAGTGAAAATAGCGGCACAAGTGGTTTCAGCAGAGCATTCACAACAGATGGCGCAGCAGGCAAGTGACATGAGCAGGTGAACAGGCAGCTTACAACACCCGGAGGTAGTGGGGGAAGGCGGAGGAAGGGAGGGCTCACAGCAGCGGGGGGCGGCATGGGTGGGGAGGCATCGGGGATGAGGTCAGCGAGTCCGGGTGGGTCGTCAAATGGGTCGTCCAACACGTGCACTCGGCGTATGCTGGTGGGGGAGGAGGCGGGGGAGAGGCGGCAATTGGGGACCTGATGACTCATGAGTTGTCATGAAGCACAGAGGCGCAGCACAGACGACCAGCTGTGTGCATGGTAGCGCCCTGTAACCATCAGCTGTGTGCATGGTAGCGCCCTGTAACCATCAGCTGTGTGCATGGTAGCGCTCTGTAACCATCAGCTGTGTGCATGGTAGCGCCCCATAACCATCAGCTGTGTGCATGGTAGCGCCCTGTAACCATCAGCTGTGTGCATGGTAGCGCCCTGTAACCATCAGCTGTGTGCATGGTAGCGCCCTGTAACCATCAGCTGTGTGCATGGTAGCGCCCTGTAACCATCAGCTGTGTGCATGGTAGCGCCCTGTAACCATCAGCTGTGTGCATGCTAGCAGCCCTGCAACGGCCATCAGCGGGATTCCCAGAGAAACTGGCGCGTACCGGATGTTCTTGAAGGGGCGTACCGGATGTTCTTGAAGGGGCGTACCGGATGTTCTTGAAGGGGCGGCCTTTGTCGTCCACAAATGCCTCGTTGATGCGCTGCAGCGTGTCCAACCCCTCCGCCACCTCGCCAAATATCTGATGCCATACCGTGCCGTGCCATGTCGTGCCGTGCCGTGCCATGCCATGCCATACCGTGCCGTGCCGTGCCATGCCATGCCGTGCCGTGCCGTGCGTGCCATGCCGTGCCGTGCCATGCACATGAGAGATGAAGAAGTTATGCAAGAGTGCAGTGAGATGCGGCGTGGCAGAGCCACATAAGCATGCCGTACCATGCCTGCCATGCAGAGAGACCATGCATGTGGTGCCATGCAGGTGCAACGAGTGCTGGGCAGCGAGGAGAAAAAAGCATAAATAATCTTGATAATCAGATGAGAGTGAGCAAGTGAGTGTCAGCATATGCTGGCGTCATGGTCTCACCGTGTGCTTGCCATCGAGTGAGTCCAGCCCAGCCCGCGTGGTGATGTAGAACTGGGCGGTAGGGGATGCCAGCAGGGGACGCCAAAAGGGGAGGGAGAAAAGAGGGCGGAGAGCGGAAGGAGGGTGGGAGAGGAGGGCATGGAAAATGCAAGAATGAATCATAATGAGTCGAGATGAGATCTCACTAATCCTGTGTGCAGGCCCAGCATGTGGGAAACGGGGCTGGGGGCAAACACGAGAAATAAGAAGAAAGCATGTGGGCCCAGCATGGATTTAGCCTGCGAGAGGTTGATTTGCAGGGAGAACCTTGGATTGGATTCTGAGCCTTGGATTCTGAGCCTTGGATTCTGAGCCTTGGATTCTGAGCCTTGGATTCTGAGCCTTTGATTCTGAGCCTCTTTGCACTGATATGTAGCGGTGGGTTAAGCAACGTGCCTATGAGCGTGCGTGTGCATGGGAGGGGTGTAAGAAGTGCTGGATGGTGGCAAGTGGAGGCCAACGGAGACTACCAGGCCTGCAGAATTCAGTAGGGAAAAATGATAACTCGCCTGAGAGGCGATGAGGGTCACCTGAGAGGCGTTGAGGGTCACCTGAGAGGCGATAAGGGTCACCTGAGAGGCGTTGAGGGTCACCTGAGAGGCGTTGAGGGTCACCTGAGAGGCGTTGAGGGTCACCTGAGAGGCGTTGAGGGTCACCTGAGAGGCGTTGAGGGTCACCTGAGAGGCGTTGAGGGTCACCTGAGAGGCGTTGAGGTTGCTGTCTCCGCTGGCCATGGCGACCACCCCCACCTTGTCGTGCTTCAGCCCCGCCCGGATCTCATCCTCAAAGAACCGCGCCTGCTCTCCGTACAGGAACCTGCCATTCGGGTGGGGAGAGGGGGGGGGGGGGGGTGGGTGGGGGGGGAGGAGTTGGGGATAGGGGTTTGGGCATGGACCGCAGCAGGGAGGGGAGTGGGTGTGTGGTGTGGCACGACAACCGGCTGTGGTGCAGCAACCTCACCAACCCATGCCCCTCACACCACACTTGAGCATGGTACTCAACTCCGGTCATTTTTGTGAATGGGTTGGGTTAAACTGATTGCGTCAGTCTGACTTCACATGCCGTGTCTGGCCGCCATCAAACATTGGCCCATTTGACGCGCGTTAGGTAGCGTAGCGCCCCACACACCCCTCGCCCCACACACCCATCGCCACCCCTCGCCCCTCACACCTCTCGCCCCTCACACACCCGTCGCCCCACACACCCCGTGCCCCCCCACGCACTTGTAAACGGAGTCACCACCAGCGCCAGTGGCGGTGGGGTCGCCCGTCTGCACGATGAAGTCGCGCTGCACGCGGTGGAAGACGCAGTGGTGGTAGTACTTCATCCTGGGGGGGGGGAAGAGGATGGGCATAGGCATGCCGCGGCGTGACAGCAGAGGTTCTGGAGGGATAGTTGCGAGGGCAGGGGCGGGAGGGAGGTTGCAAGAGCCGTAGCAAAGAATTCGAGGCACTTCATCCATTTCGCGCGTCATTGAACGGTGAAGGTATGTGAGGGGCGACGCGAGAAGGGCGGGGGGGAGGGGAGGTGCTTTGGGTTGGCAGGGGGAGGGCGCGAGCGCGACTGACTTGGCGAGTTTGAGGAAGTTCTTAGTGGCGAGCGGGCAGAGGTCCGTGTGCAGGTCGATCACCATCTCGCCCACACTAGTCTCCACCAGCACCGCCATCCGCCCCCTCCGCCCCCTCCGCTACCTGCTGCTCTCTTCCAGTCGGCGAAACAGGCCTGCGGGAGGCGCGGCGCGGCAGCAAGAGAGAGAGTCAGCAGACGACGAGAGTGCTGACCCTTCGTGTCAGCTTCAGGCGCTCACACTGAGAGCGCGCAGAGAGAGCGCGGAGGGAGAGCGCGGAGGGAGAGCGCGGAGGGAGAGCGCGGAGGGAGAGCGCGGAGGGAGAGCGCGGAGGGAGAGCGCGGAGGGAGAGCGCGATCAGTGGGGAAAGTGGAGTGGCGAGCGAATAGTTTTCCGTAGCCACCGCTTCACTCTAGACCATCTATCCACGGGCCTTACTGACTCAAGCGGTGGGAGGTTGAGCGAGAGCGGACGGGGATTGGTGGGACGCGATGCAGCGCGTGAGGCGGCCGACGCGCGGAGAAGATCGGGGCGGCGAGGAGCGCGTGCGGTGGGTGGGTGCGAGGGATGGAGGTGTGAGGTTGGGCGGCAGGCAGATGGCAATCGAATGAGCATGAGGGATGGGAAGGCCTGTGTGGAAATTAGGGCAAAGAAATGTGTTGGGGCAGGGGACCTCGCGAAAAAGAACGTGTTGGGCAGGGGACCTCGCGAAAAAGAACGTGTTGGGGCAGGGGACCTCGCGAAAACGATAGCGAAGGTGTACCATGTGATTCTTCTGCTCGACTAGTTCAAACCACTTCGCCAACCAAAATTTGCCTCGGGTCACTCCATTTCGTTGATACTCCGCCGTGCCCACATCACATTTCGTTCCAACACCCCAGCACAGCCACTACCGCACAGTCGACTTCCGCATGGCCTCTCTCTCTCTCGCACCGCCGCTTCGCGCCTTCCATTCCGCCCCCTGCGCTGCACCGCTGTGCGCCACGCGGCCCTTGCAGCCTCGACCATTTCTTCGTCGCCAGTCGCAGCTTGTCGTACGCGCGTCGCATGGCGAACGACCCGCAGACGCGGCAAGCGACAGTCCGCCAGGCGAGTCGCAGCAGCGCGCCTTCGCCGCCGCCGGCACGGCCGCTCTGATTGGCGGCGACCCGCAGGCCGCCGCCGATGCTGCAGCCGCCGCCGCCCGTGAGGGTGACTCGGCGGACCCCGCCACTGGCGGCGCGCGCGTGCCCGGCGGCGATGGTGTCTCCGCGGGTCTCGCGCTCATCCTCTCCCACCAGCGGCGGTGGACGTGGCGCGGCGCCAGCATCAACTACTGCGACATTCCGCCCCGCGCCGGCGGCGAGGGCGCGGAGGAGAGCGGCGAGGAGGGGTGGCGGGGGAGAGAGGACGCGCCCGCCGTGGTGTTGGTGCACGGCTTCGGCGCTTCCATCGGCCACTGGCGCAGGTGAGGGGCACTGGCGCAGGTGAGGGCCACAGGCGCAGGTGAGGGGCACTGGCGCAGGTGAGGGGCACTGGCGCAGGTGAGGGGCACTGGCGCAGGTGAGGGGCACTGGCGCAGGTGAGGGGCACTAGCGCAGGTGAGGGGCACTGGCGCAGGTGAGGGGCACTGGCGCAGGTGAGGGGCACTGGCGCAGGTGAAGGGCACTGGCGCAGGTGAGGGGCACTGGCGCAGGTGAGGGGCACTGGCGCAGGTGAGGGGCACTGGCGCAGGTGAGGGGCACTGGCGCAGGTGAGGGGCACTGGCGCAGGTGAGGGCCACTGGCGCAGGTGAGGGGCACTGGCGCAGGTGAGGGGCACTGGCGCAGGTGAGGGCCACTGGCGCAGGTGAGGGGCACTGGCGCAGGTGAGGGGCACTGGCGCAGGTGAGGGGCACTGGCGCAGGCTGATGGGTCAAATTCGCCTGATTGTTCTGCTCTCCGCCATGGCTCCTGCTTTAACTTCGGCACGCCCAATGTCTACCAATTTCCAGCCTGATGGCACATTTCTTCGGACCTTAATGTTCAGCTCGACTAGCGCTTTAAGAGGATACCTTTTTTGTGTTCATACTAGGGATGAGCAATATGACGAACACCTGTTCGGTTCGCCTCGAACACGTTCGAGGCGAACCGAACAAGATTTTTTTTTGGCCTAAATTGTTCGGGGCGAACGTGTTCGGTGTTCGCCCGAACACGTTCGCCGTTCGCCCGGCTCAGCTGGCCGAGGCGCGACGAACACGAACGTGTTCGTGATCGACACGGGCCTTCGACGAACGCCAATGTGTTCATCGACGAATAGGCCCGCGACCAATTTTTAGGGCGTGGGCCTTGGTGTTTGGGCTCAGATCAAGGCCTTTTGCCGCTGCTTAAGTGCGGATCAAGGCCTTTTGCCGTTGCTTAAGTGCGGATCAAGGCATTTCGCCGTTGCTTAAGCTCAGATCTAGCATTTCGCCGTTGCTTAAGCGTAGATCTAGCATTTCGCCGTTGCTTAAGCGTAGATCTAGCATTTCGCCGTTGCTTAAGCGTAGATCTAGCATTTCGCTGTTGCTTAAGTGCGGATCAAGCATTTCGCCGTTGCTTAAGCTCAGATCTAGCATTTCGCCGTTGCTTAAGCTCAGATCTAGCATTTCGCCGTTGCTTAAGCGTAGATCTAGCATGGGCGGTTCTAGCAGGGCGGGACTGGCTTGCAGGGTGGGGGGAGGGAATGTGAAACATTTGGATTTCACTCTACCTGGATCCGAGAAGGTCCTTTAAGGCGAACGCGAACATGTTCTGGGCGAACGTGTTCGTGTTCGCCAAAACGTACGAAATGTTCGCCTCTCTTGGCGAACTTCGAACACCCTTTCTGGTGTAAAGTGTTCGGCGAACCGAACAGTGTTCGGTTCGCCAAACAGCCATGTTCGAGCCCAGGCAAACACGAACATGTTCGTGTTCGCCATTTGCTCATCCCTAGTTCATACAGTGAACATTGGTGAATCTTACCTAGCCGCAGGAACTATCAAGGCTCATGCCTTATCAAGCTTCTCGGCAGTACCATGGCGCCTTGGTTTCACAGAGCCTGAAGTGGATTGGTTACTGGATCCTGATCCGCCAGATTTGCGGTTTTTGTTATCCTGTTCCTCGAGATCGTCAACAACCCTCGGACTTGGCTCAACTACACAAGGCTCAGGCATTGCACTCGTTCGGGAAGCAACAAGTTATATAAGCAAAGGCAGCAACAAGGGTGTTCACATATTCGTGCTCAGAGGAGGTTTCTTATTAAGCTTCTGCTCAAGCCTGTCCCTCCGTTATCGTCATTGCACAATGGCGGGAGGTCGACGCAACGGACGGGGTGGCGGAAAGATTGGAGGAAAAGTTATTGATACTGCTGGCAACACCCCTTTGACCAGCGCGGATCACTCTCCGGAGACGAGTCCTCTATTGTTGACGCAAGCTTCACCCCAAGCTCCCCTCACGACGGCAGTTAACGATGTGCTGGGAGAGGTGGCGAAAATCTCCCTGCAAGAGCGGTTGTCTGCTTTGAAGGACAACGAGCTTAAGGACAATAAGGAGGGTAATGAGACGCAGCAACCGCAACCGACCTCGTCAGCTGGCGGATCGCCGAATCCTGTGACAATGGCACCTGCGGCTACGGCAGAAGGTTGCAGCAAATACGTGGATGAGGATGAGTGCTGGGACAGTGACGACGAGGACGACTTCGACCCAACTGCGGTCAGCCTGCTCGCGTCCCAAGTCAGCTTCCCACTTACGCTTCTGATCCCTATTCAGTGGGAGAGCGAGGTCCCGAAGTTGAAGCCTACGGTCATTGCGCACCTGGATCACTGGAAGGCTTCGTTGACGGTCGACGCGCAGACGACCACGAAGTATCAGGAGATGCTGCCGCTGTGGCTGTCAAAGAAGCGATACGATCGGCTTCAAGTTACCTTTCAGCACGCGAGTGATGCGGCTTCGGTCTGGCGGCGCTCCATCGAGCACGATGTGGGGAAGGGGGTTACTCTGACGCTTAACTGGCAGCACCCGGAGAACGCGACTTACAGGAAGGAGCGTCAGCAGAACCCAGATGCGGTGGAAGTGCTGTTGAAGTATGTTCCGGCTGGCGTCTCTCCAGAGCTGGTCCGTAAGATGCTGACGGAGGTTGTGCTGCTCAAGAAAGGCAAACCTGCGTTCAGCAAAGGCGTGGGCTTCCACAGAGTGCAGGACCCAGTTACCGGTATTGACACTGGCAAAATACGTGGTCTGTTGATCGAGCATGAGAATGACGTCGACCCATGGCGTCATGCGGTTGCTGATCTGTCGAACCCCGGAAGGAAGCTGATGGTTCATTATCCTGTACTCACCTGCGGTTACCGCAAGGGTCAGCATCTGACGTAGTATCACAACGCTTATGTCACGGAGCGTCAATCCAGCATCAGCAAATGGACCTTGTCTGTCGCAAAGGTTCATGCGATCAACGGTATCAGTGTCTCGCTTTTCTCACCTTTGCCGCTCCTGTCTTTTCCTTCGAATTCTACTGACGTCCCGGCTCAAACCCCTCCTCGCAACTGCATCGCTGAAAGTCACAGCATTAACGAAAGACATTCTCAAGGACCCGGCTATCGTTCTCACCTCCACAGGGGGGTCGCGGGAGGACTGGGTGTGTGTGGTCGCTGCTTGCGACAAAGCGCAGGGTGCCAGCTTCGAGCAGGCATTGGCTCACGTCGCATCACTCCGTCACAAGACGAACCTGACGAAGCCGGGTGCTGCTACCCGCGCCAGGTAACCGCCTGGATGCCGCTGTCCCGAGAGTACACATCCGCAGGAGTACAGAGGAGGAGGATGGCAGTTCAGTTTTCGCTTCAGTTTCAGTCGTGGTAGCAGTAGTGGCAGTTTCAATGTTGTGCAATTCTATGGTGCGGCCGGTGACAGCGGCGCGCGTGTATCAAGAGATTTGTATCAGTTCCCAGCCCGTAGATGCGAAGGGGCTTCTCACCTGTTTTTAGATGAATAAGAAGAACTCGATCAGGTTGTGCGAGCTCAACATCAATGGGCTCGGCAGTGCAGGGAAGCAGGAAAAGTGCAAAGACTGGCTAAGGAACAAAGTGGATGTCGCGATACTTACAGACACGCGCAATCAGGCTGACCAGAACTTCTGGACTCAATTGAAGCCGTCCGCGGTGGTGGCCGTGGGGCCAGCTGGGCCGGCAGGAGGAGTAGCTGTGGTGAGCTTTGTGCCTGGGATGAGCTTCACGCACACGTACACACACGCATCAGGAAGATTGGTGGGGGTGGTGGTCCGTTGGGAAGATCTAGAGCTGCTCCTTGTTGCGTTGTACTCGCCGGCGCAACTGGAGATCAGGGCCCCTTTCTACAAGGACTGCCTGGGGCCTTTCCTGGGCACCTTACCAAAAATGATGAACGTCATGGTGATGGGAGACATGAACGTGGTGGAGGACCCGGCGCTAGACAAGTCAACAGGTGTGGGGTCGTCGGCGGAAAACCGGAGGTTGATGAGCTACTGGGCGAACTCCCCGCTCACTGATGCGTTCCGTTTTATGCACCCTGGCAAGAGGGAGTACACTTTCCACATGAGGGCAAAGGGTGTGAGCACCAGGATTGACCGCGCGCTAGTGTCACAATCGTTGCTGTGCAAGCTGGTGGATGTGCGGCACGCGGACATTACAAACAAGATGACGGATCATTGGAGTGCGGTGGTGGTCGCGCTGGAGTCGTCGGCGGCGGTCGAGAGTGGTCCCGGAATCTGGCGGCTAAGGGCGGTACAGGCAAAAAAGAGAGGGGTCAGGAGCCGGGTGGAGAAGGTGATCAAGGACGCGGGTGGTAACCTTGGGGTGATGTTACCAAGGCTGTCGGCGTGTCTGCGGGCGTACACAAGGGAGGAAAGGAAGAGAATCGGGGCAACCAAGAAACACCTGGAGAAGGAAGTGAGGGTCTTCCCAAGGAGCTGTTCGAGTACAACTGGGACTTGCTTGGGCCGGTGCTGATGCAGTTCATAGAAAACTTCACGCGAACGGCAGAGCTACCACGTCTCAACTGCGGTTACGATTCTGCTGCACAAAAAGGGGAGCAAGGAGGAGTTAGGGAATTACAGGCCTATTACGCTGCTAAGCACGGTTTACAAGGTGTTAGCGAAAGTAATGGTGTCAAGGTTAAAGAAAGTTCTACATGAGGTGATCTCGGAAGATCAAGCGGGCTTTTTACCTGGACGGAGGCTGGCGGATGCCGTTGCGGTGGTAGTGGACGCTATCGAGGCGGGTGCCAATGGCGGCAAGGACTGCTACCTCCTGATGGTTGACTTTCAGAAGGCTTTTGACTCCATCTCGAGGCCTTTCCTCTTCTGAACGCTGCGAGGGATGGGGGTTCCGGAGCAGTTCGTGTCCTGGGCGGAGGGCCTGCACATAGGAGCAGGCACACGGTTGCACATCAACGGGTGGACAGGAGACAGGGTCGCGGTGGAAAGAGGGGTGCGTCAATGTTGTCCGCTAGCACCGTACCTCTTCTTGTGCGCGGTAGAGCCGCTCTGTCAAGAAATTGCGCAACGAAGGCTGGGGGTGGGAGACGAAGGTGCAGAGAAGCTGGCGTACCTGGGATACGCCGACGACACGTCGCTCTTGCTGCAGGGGGAAGAGCAGCTGGCTGCAGCGGCTGAAGTGCTGGAAAATTTCGGGAAGGCATCAGGGCTGAAGGTGAACAAAGATAAGACGGTGGTCTTTCCACTCGGGGAAAACAGGGGGGAGCCTCCGCCGGCAGACCTGCAATTCAAATGGGCAGACAAGGCGGCACCGGAGAGACTGTTAGGTGTTTGGATCACTCCGAACGGCGACCCACTCCCGTCCCAGGAGAAGGCTTTGGACAGGGCGCGAAAAGAGTTAGCCAAATGGGAAATTCAGCATTTAACGACGTCAGCAAGGGTCACGATAATCAACGGGTACATATCGCCTATCTTCATGTTTCAGGCGTACATATACCCGCCGCCGGAGGAGATCTGGACAAAAATCAAGCGGATCTATCACCATTTTGTGTCGGAAGGGGAGGCGACGGAGGAAAAGGCCTTCGTCCTCTGGAACTACGAGCTGGTATGCACACCCCTGGAAGAGGGAGGGCTGGGGATGATATGCCCCAAGAAGCGTTTCGACAGCATAGCGGTGCAGAATGTCGGCCGCATGATGCTGCAAACAAACCCCGTTAAGAAGTGGCTGACGGAGCAGGCGGCGGCGATGCCTCTGGGACCGGACACAATCTACGCTCATCAGTCCCTGCTGAGACACTGGAAGGAGGGTAGTAAACGCTGGAAGGATATGACACAAGCTTTCTGGAAGTCACCTTTCTGCGTCACCCCGGAGCCAAGTAATCGCTGGGAGGTGGAGCGGGAGAAGTTGGCGTTTAACAGGCGCATACCTTTCACGGGGGCCAGTCCGTTCGGAAATCAAAAAGGTTAGACACGGCTACTGGGGTTAACAATGGGCGATCTGATCTGGCACCGAGCAGACGGCACACGGGAGCTAAAAGGTGAGGAAACTCTGGCGAGCGAGCTCAGCAGTGTTGTAGCGGCGAAATTGGCGCTGAAGGCTTTCATGGCGGCGCCGGTCGAATGGAGAGACATGTTGCTGGAAACGTTGACAAGCGAGGGGATAGCGGCTAAGGTTCCGCTACTGCGGTACCAGAGGAGTATCGTTGCGCCCCCTACGCTCTGGAAGGTCAGCGGCGCCGACAGCGGCAGAGTGACGGGGGTGATGTGTCGGGAAAGCGCTGACGGTACCTTCACAGTCGGGGATGAGAAGTACCCAGTAAACTTCGGGCTGCACAGCGGGGAGCCGGTAGCAGCTCAGGGAGATAATGTGAGGATCTAGGATCGAGCTCAGAATAAGAGAATGTGAATTGAATGAATTGAATGATCACCTGGGTACAACACGAGGCTATATATAGGCTCGACACAAGGCCCCGTAACCAGGTGTTACGCGAAGGTTCCGCGGGTCGTGAAGCGTCCCGAACAGATCCTTACCGAATTCGGTAGAAGGCAATTCGGTGGCAACCGAAAAGCCCAGAATTCGGTGCACGCAACCTAGCTCCCTGCTATAACTATAATAAAGTATAGAAAAGCACCTAGCCTAGGAAATCAAGCAATTCATGCATGCATATAATTATCCTATGCTAGAAATAGCATAATAAAGTAAAAGGCAAGCAAGCATAGCTGGCATAAGCCGTCGTACTCTCACACGTCCCCCCCTCAAAGCTGGGTGGCGTGAGATACACCCTGCTTGACAAGATAGTCCTTGAGAGCACGGCGTGCGTTGCCCATATCAGCTTCTGCAACCCAACTGTCCTCAGTGGGGTCGTATCCTTTCGAGCGTAACAGGAACTCGAGGGTCTTGGCACCGCGGCGCCGATGAGTGAGAACACGCTCCACTTCGTACTCGGGTTCATCCTGTATGAGAACAGGTGGTGGTGGCGGTAGTTGCCGTCTCTGGAACTGTTGGTTGGGGTCCTTGTAGGGCTTCAGTAGCTGGACATGGAAAACGTTGTGAAGCTTCCATGTATCTGGTAAGCGCAAGCGGAATGTAACTGGTGTCACCTGTGCCTCAACGAGAAAAAGACCACAGAAACGAGGCCGGAGTTTGGATGGGAGGTGAGACAGGTTCAAGTTGCGCGTGTCAAGAAGCACCTCATCTCCGACTGCTACTGAGTGATCCCGTCCCTGACGATCGGCATACTGCTTCTGGGAGGTCTGCATCGTGGTGAGTCGTCGCTGAGTCTTCTCCCATAGCTGCTGCATGGTGGTGACGAAGTCATGTACGGCTTGGACGTGTGCCGGTGTGGTTGGCTGCTTTGGTGTGAGTGGTTCCTGTCCGTAACACAGGAAGAAAAGAGTTTTCCCTGTGGCCGCATGTGATGCGTTGTTGTAAGCAAACTCTAGGGTCGATAACTGTGTGTCCCAGTGGCTGATGTCGTCCTTGCAAGCTGTGCGCAGTAACTGTTCAACCACTTGATTGAGTCGCTCTGTCTGTCCGTCAATGTGTGGGTGGTATGGTGAAGACATTGCAAGCTTTGTCCACAACAGTCCCATGAGCTCCTTCCAGAACTTACTGGTGAATTTTGGGTCTCTGTCTGAGATGAGTGTAGTGGGGATGCCGTGGATGGTGATGATGCGGTCGAAGAAGAGGCGAGCAGTTGCTTCAGCTGTAGCTGTGGCGTTGGTCGGTATGAAGTGACCCATTTTGGAGAACTTATCGATGACTACGAGGATGGAATCATGTCCCCGTGAGGTTGAAGGAAGTTCTGTGATGAAGTCGATACTAACGACCTGCCATGGCTGCTCCGGTACACGTAGAGGCTGAAGTAACCCTGCTTTTTTCTGCTTGCTGCTCTTCATCCGCTGGCACGTGCCGCAAGAGGTGACGAACTGCTGCACGTCTGCTGCCATCCCGGGCCAGTAGTAATATTTTGCTATCCCTGCTAACGTCTTGTTGCTCCCGAAATGTCCCGCGTAAGGTACGTCATGAAACTCCTCCAAGAGGATCTACTGTAGCGGGGCGTAATTCGGTACCCAAATCTTTCCTGATCCTTTTCTTACAGCTAAGTCCTTCCACTATAACAGCTTCTTACTGCTCCGACTGCTTGGTCACTAGCGTCTGCTTCCACCACGTAGTCTCTGTCTGGATCCGGTAAGATGAGTACTGGCGCTGTAGTTAGTGCTGTCTGTTTGTTCAGTGCGCGGTAGTCGATGCACATCCGTAAACTACCGTCTGGCTTTGGAGTGAGGAGAATTGGTGCACCGTAGGGAGAGGTGGATGAGCGGATCAGTTGTCTGTCCAGTAGATACTCTATTTGTTTTTTCATGTCTGTCAGATCAGTCGGACTCAGTCGGTATAGTGCACGTAAGACGGGTTTTGCACCTGGTTCCTCCACGATCTCGTGCTCGTGGGTGCGTGCTGGAGGTACGCCTGCGGGTAGGTCGTCGGGCATTATATCCTTGTACTGCTCCAAGACCTCCTCCTCTGCTGCTGCCATAACAAGTGCTAAGTAACCCGTGTTACTCTCGTTCACTGTCCGTTCGAACCGTGCCAGTGTCGTTTTAGGAACGCTCCCTGTATCCGTTGTTGTAGATGCACGTTTTCCGGTTGACCCAATCGATCTCGGGGTTGAACCGCTTCAAAAAATCTCGCCCCAAGATGAAATCTAATCCCTTGATGTTCGTGATCCGCAACGTCGGCTTCCACCTCTGCGCCCCTATGTGCAGCTGCAGTGATGCTTCGCCGTGGATGGGAAGTTTCGTATCGTCCACCATTGTTGTTGTAAACTGGGTTTCTTCTGAGGATTCTCCAATTTTCTCCAACGTCCCGCGGTCGCACACCGAGTGGGACGCACCACTGTCCACCAGGGCCTGGAGGCGACGCCCGTTGCAGATCACCTTGAGTACTAGTGGTTGCTGCTGCTCCGAGTATCCGTAGATGGTATCGCTTATAGGATCGTAGGGTACGTCGAATATGTTATCCCTCGGTCCTGCGCTCGAAGATGCAGCTTCAGTATTAGTTTTCAACTGAGAAAGGTTGGAAGGATTTATCCGAGGCCGATTCGGCTTCTCTTGGGCCTGGAACCTTCCACTAAGCCTTTGCACCTGTGTAGGCTTCATCTGTGGGGAACAGGGAGCCTTTAAACGGTGCTGCTGGGAGAGAATATTAACTCCTCGGAACGCTCGACCCGTATTAACGCTCTGGAGTAGGGTCCCCATAATACCCGGTATCGGTTTAATTTCTGACTCTCCCTTAATAAAGGCTTGAAACCCACGAGAAGTAATATTCTTACTTGTCGGGGTATACGGCTGGAGTTTCCCGGTCGGTGCAGGGTCTTGTTTCGCGGATCCTCCATTAGTCTCGGCGATTTCCCCTGGTGCCGGCTGGTCGTGACGTTTTAAATTTGCGCCACCATATTCTCCTTTTTTGGCCCTCTCCGAAGTTGCCACGTTGTCCGTTTTCTACTTCGGGGGTGCCGCACTGTTCTTGTCCTTCAGCTCCGTACACCTTTTCTTCATTTTCCAACACGCCAAGATACGATGTCCTGTAGCGCCGCAAAATTTGCACGTCTCATTATTTGCTAGCTGCTGCCAGGGATGAGCAAAGGGCGAACTCGAACACGTTCGTGTTCGAGTTCGCTCGAACATCACCATTTCCCGAACCGAACAAGGTTCGGTTCGGCGAACAATTTGGGCTGGAGAAGGTGTTCGCCGTTCGCCCATGGGGGCGAACACTTGGTAAATGTGGGCGAACTCGAACATGTTCGAACCGAACATGTTCGAGTTCGCCTGTGGGCAATTTCGTTATAGTCACAATTGTCAAACAGGGAATCTGGAGGGTTGGGAAGATAGATAGGGGGATGGAGGGTGTATATGTGTTCATGCAACGCACACTAGCATACGACACCATCATGTTTTGCCTATATAAAAGTCACTGTCAAATTATATCCTACGCCTGCACACCACTGCTACTGCCAACAACACCATGCTCCTCCGCCTCATTGGTGTCGCCAACACCACCCCCATCCTGCTCCTCCTCCCCCTCCTCCTCCTCCCACTCGTCGTCGTCCTCCTCCCCCTCGCCTTCAATGGCGAACTCTGGTGGTGCCTCGCCTTTTGCACGGCGGCCCTCGCCTATCCTCTGTCCTGGGTGTGAGCTGTACCATGATCTGAGAATCATGGACGCTCGCGTCCTCTGAGAGGCTAGGCGGTGCCGCTTCCAGGACATGAGGTTGCGGCCGAGGGAGAACACGCGCTCGCTCGACGCGGACGTGGCAGGGATGGCAAGATAATCCCGGGCCATGCGCCTCAGCGTCTGCATGTTGGTGGCGCTGCGCCAATACTCCAACGCTGACACGTCGCACCGCACCCTCTCAGACAAGTACCTGCCAACCTCGTCATCCTGCACCATCCCACCCCTCCCCGCCTCCTGGCTCGCCGACAGACGCGCCGCAAGGCGTCGGCGACTAGGGAGAAACTCGGCGTCTTCGTCGTCATCCGCCGCGTCTCCCTCCTCCTCCTCTGTCACTGTGGCAAGTGGGGTCGGCCGAGGGGCAATCGCTGCAGCCCGGGCCTGGTACTCGGCCACGCGTTCGCGAACCAGCTGGATCACCTCGCCTGACGAGGGGCGAGGCCTCGCCCTCCGGTCGGTATCGGGATGCAGCGTCTCCCAGTGCGCGTCGTCGAACCACGCCGCCTTCATGGAAGGGTCCAGGAAGGTCGCGATCCACAGCTCGTTGCTGGACATCAGTTCATACTTCTTCAAGAGACCCAGCGCCGCCTCAATCATCAGCTTTAGCGTAGCCGATGGCCCCTTGGCAAGGCGCGACTCCATAGCGTCGATCAGGCCGTTGTAGTACGGCAGGACCATCGCCACTGTAGGGTACGCCGCACCCTCCGCTGCCTTTGAGACTTTGGCGAATGGGCTGGGGAAGGTCTTGACAGAATGCAGAGTCTCCCAGTCTGCGTCCGTCAGGCGCAAGGTGTCCAGCTTCGCCTTGTCAGTCTTCGACACGCCCTGTGGTGTGGGTTAGAACGTATGGGTGGGCGGGTGTTTAGTCAAGTCAAGCATGGCCAACAGTGGTCCAAGGATCCAAGGCAAAACACCCCAACATATCCACAGAATAAACCGCACACACAACACTTGGCACACACACACACCTGTGTCTGGGCAAAGAAGACAGTGATGGGTTCCCGCAGAACCCCAGCTCGCTCGACCATGTCGTGGGTCGACCCCCAGCGTGTGGGACTGTCCTGCACCAACTTCAACGCCGGCTTCGGTTTGGCGGGGTTGGCCTGCGCGTTCAGGGTCCGCTGAAGGCTCAAGAACTTCCCTGAGCGCTGTGGCGAGAAGCCTATCCACGACGCCATGTCTCTCAGAATCCGCAACAACTTGCGGATGGCAGCGACTGCGAGAGCTGCCTTTACTGCGAGGTTGATCACGTGTGCCAGGCATCTGCGCACAACACCAGACATTAACGGCGGGAAGTGTGAGTACACATTGGCATAGACCCGAGAAACACTTCCAATCTCAAGCCCCATAGGCCCTCCCACTCTCATTGCACATCCCACGCACACTCCCTTCCGTACCGGAAGTGCATGCGCGAGTTGAAGAAGCACTGGCCACCACCCTCCTCCGACATCCACCTGAAAGCGGCAGTGTTGCTGGAGGCGTTGTCTGAGGTGAACCCAAGACAACGCGTCTCCAACCCCCAGTGCACCACCGTCTCCTCAACCACCCTCGCCATCTGCTTGCCCGTGTGACGCCCGTGAATCTCGCGGAATTCAAACACCATTGTGCGCAGCTGGAAATTCTCGTCGATCCAGTGACCCGTTACCACTAGCCACGCCGTGTTGTTGGGTGCCGTCCACATGTCGATTGTGAACGACACCCTGCACCCCACCTCCCCCTCCTTCGCCAGCATCTCCGCAACGGATGACTGAAGAGCGGCAGCCGCATAGACCACTGTGTCGCGGGAAACCGTCCAGCGCGAGGGGATGAAGTTCTTCTGCGCGCAGTTGCGGTTTAGCAGGATGAGAAGCTCACGAAACTGGAGAGGGGTAGACACAAGGGGGGGGAGAGGGGACTAAACGGAAACCCGGGGCCACAAACAAAGAGTCAAAACACAAGCGGGTGCAACACATGCATGGCGGGTGCACACTGCATGGCGGGTGCAACACATGCATGGCGGGTTCAACACATGCATGGCGGGTGCAACATGCATGGTGGGTGCAACATGCATGGCGGGTGCAACATGCATGGCGGGTGCAACATGCATGGCGGGTGCAACATGCATGGCGGGTGCAACATGCATGGCGGGTGCAACACATGCATGGTGGGTGCAACACATGCATGGCGGGTGCAACACATGCATGGTGGGTGCAACATGCATGGCGGGTGCAACATGCATGGCGGGTGCAACATGCATATCGGGTGCAACATGCATGGCGGGTGCAACATGCATGGGGGGTGCAACACATGCATGGTGGGTGCAACACATGCATGGCGGGTGCAACACATGCATGGTGGGTGCAACATGCATGGCGGGTGCAACATGCATGGCGGGTGCAACATGCATATCGGGTGCAACATGCATGGCGGGTGCAACACAAGCGGACAGACCCATCCACAAACCACATACTTGCCCAAGAATGCATGGGATGGGATGGGGCACTTACAGCGTCGGCCTCGACGATGCGGAAGGGGAGGTCGCAGGTGACCACCAGCTTCGTGATCGCCTGCCGTAGCTGCACCGAGGTCAGTTTGGGTGTCATCCACCGCTCGATCCCGCCTGACCCATCACCTCCACCAGTCGCCTTCCCTTTCCCCTTGGCGAGTTGCGGCCAAGTTTTGGCATGTGGCCACTCATAGACGTACCCATCCGGCACTCCCTTGTAGCCCCCACGGGGAAACGTCTCCCCTGGCAAGTGAAGGGACGGGGTGTGGTAACGGTGATGCCACACATGCATGTGCGCAGTGTGGAAGCTCGCAAAGTGCCTCTCGCCGGGGGTTGTTGTGGATTGCTTCCAAGAAATCCTGTCTGTGCAAATCTTGCACTGACGCTTCTCGTCTGCCCCTAACGGTCCGAACATCATTACCTGCCACCCCGGCTTCCTATTACCCTTGCCAGTCCCCTTACTACTCTCGGACCCTCCGTCCTCGTCTAGGAACTCGGGAGGGACCACACCCTCGCCCAAGGGCTCCCCAGTGAACGTGCAGGGATACGCCCGCTCCCTCAACTTGTTGGCTTTCTTCCGCTGCCTCGGCTCCCTAATGGTCACGGCCTTTTTCCCCCCCACCTTAACCCCCACGCTCCCTCCCCCTTCACGCACATGCTGTGATCCCGCCTCTGTCGCCCCCCTTCCGCCACCCTCTCCCACCTCCTCCTCCCGGCCCTCTGGCTCCAACCCATCCATCTCCAGGTCTTCATCATCATCATCTCCCCCCTCCCCACCGCCATGCGTCTCTGGGTCCCACGCCGCCTCGCTGTCATCCCCGCTCCCCTCACTGTCCCCCTCCTTCTCGCCCTCACCATCCTCCTCCTCATCCTCCTCCGCACTGCCGCTCTCCGGCAGCGTCTGCCCCGAAGGAGGGGGTCGAGGGCCGTCGTAACGGAAAGAGCGACGGGAGGTCGGCGCCGGTACGGTAAGCAACCCCCCAACGAAGATCGCGCCGGCTCCTCCTGGTCCATCCCCTACCCGCCCTTGCATAGGTCGTGGTGGAGAACCCGGTGCGCTGCCTTGAGCCCTGCCTGCACCTCTCCCTATGGATCCACCAGCCCTGGAAGCCATAACTCAGCCCTCTACCCTAAACCCTAAAACACCCTACGTGCAACGGTACAGTTGGATGGTGCCGCACGTTCCTAATATTTATCCCGCACGGTAAGGTATCTGAAATACGCCCTACTTGAGCCCTTTGCGGAGATGCTGGCTGAACCTTACTTAATAGCAACCCTAAACACCCTTGCCTACGCTAAACCCTTTGCATAATACATCTAATGTCCGTGTATATTGCAAGTAAGTATCGTCATGCATGCACTTGCTTGCACCTAGAATAGAACAAGAAGGCTAGGGCGGCTGTGTGAGGGAGCGCTAAGGCAAAAACGCGTTCTGAGTTTGAGCTCACGAAATGAGCTCAAACTCAAATTGGTCGCGACCTAAATCTGGTCGCGGCCAATTTTGACGCGAACATTTTTGGTGTTCGCGTGGTCCCCAAGTCGAACACGAACATGTTCGTGTTCGGCTTGGAGGCCCGAAATTTTGGGGCGAACATCGAACATGTTCGGCCGAACACCGAACATGTTCGGCCCGAACAATTTAGGCAAAAAAAAATGCCTGTTCGGTTCGCCTCGAACATGTTCGAGGCGAACCGAACAGGCGTTCGGAATTTTGCTCATCCCTAGCTGCTGCTCCACATCGCCCTCGTCGTTCTCCATCGGGTCGGCAGTCGTGGGTGGTGCCAATCGCCCCATGCCACTAGTTGGTTTGTTGCGTCGTGTTCCGTAGTAGCTACTGTTCAACGTGTCAAACTGTTCGATCAGTGCTGCCGGAAACTGCGCCCACGTCCCCTCGCCTTGGACTATTCTGTTGTTGATCCACTCTAGAGCTGGGCCTTGTAACAGTGTTGCTGCGAGCCGTATGCGCATTGCGTCTTTTGTCGGGGTCGTGCATCCAACAGCTTCGAAGTAAATTTCGAGTTCAGCTACAAATCGACGAACGTCGTTCCTTTTTACCGTAGGATCGAACGCCTCCGGTAGCCTCGGCTTCACTACTTCGAGGTTAACTGTAGCTGCTGCCATTGTCGCATGTAGAATTGTCGGTGTTGCCGCCGCTGCTGCTGCTACTGTTGTCGCTGCTGCTGTGGCGGTTGCCAACTGGTTCGCAAGGAGTTTTTCGAGTCGTGGGAGCGCCGCATGTATTTGCTTATGCTCAGCACGTAACTCCGCGATTTTCTGTACTGAAATATCTCCTTTTCCCTCCTTTTGGCGATTTACAGGAAGATGCGCGACGAAAATAATCGTATTCTAGGTGCTGGTCGACTTACTGCGAGTCAAGTTGACTATCGGATCGACAAGCGCCAATTCTGTAGGTCGCGTAAATCTCCCCTTGTCGAAAATCGCGTCCGATCTTGGCCGTTGAGGAGAAAATCAATCCGACGCTCCAAATTCCAACTTTTTTGGGCGAAATTCTCTGGGCCGTTGAGATGAAACTCGATCGAACGGTCGAAACTCCAACCTTTCCACCAGTAAATCTGAGGGGTGTTCAAAAACCGAATCGAGGGGGACTTAGAAAAATTGCGCGGAACTGGTTTTACATACCCGTATCGGCGCTTTCGTCGTCGCCCCCGCGGTTTTTAAAGGCCGGAACTAAGCGGTTGAAGACCTCGCGTGAAAACCCGCTCTGATTACCAAGTGTGAGGATCTAGGATCGAGCTCAGAATAAGAGAATGTGAATTGAATGAATTGAATGATCACCTGGGTACAACACGAGGCTATATATAGGCTCGACACAAGGCCCCGTAACCAGGTGTTACGCGAAGGTTCCGCGGGTCGCGAAGCGTCCCGAACAGATTTTTACCGAATTCGGTAGAAGGCGATTCGGTGGCAACCGAAAAGCCAGAATTCGGTGCACGCAACCTAGCTCGGTGGTATAACTATAATAAAATATAGGAAAGCACCTAGCCTAGGAAATCAAGCAATTCATGCATGCATATAATTATCCTATGCTAGAAATAGCATAATAAAGTAAAGCCAAGCAAGCATAGCTGACATAAGCCGTCGTACTCTCACAGATAAGGTGCTGGGGCTTATGGGTGAGGCGCGAACGAAGCTTCTACAGTCTAAGCTAACCAAGGACGGAGAGATTCGATCGCTCAAAGAAATCAGGAAGGGGCTGGCTTCAGCAGGCGTCGTAAAGGAGCAGCGGAGGTGGATCAGTGATGGTAGGGTTATTGAGTGGGAGAAGGTCATCAGGCAGAGGGACTCTCTCGCCACCCCTGCCCGGGCATGGGAAATCCTGTTGAGGCTGCACTGTAGAAACCTACAAGTGGGGGAGCGGCTTTTTTTAAGAAGGACAGAGTGGTTTGCCCACACTGCAAAGCAGAGGAGACACCGGAGCACTGCCTGCTCAGCTGCCCGGCGATTCAGAGGGTGGTCCGGTTCTTGCGGAAAGGCTGGCTGAGATGAACCCGCAGCTGAACTGGCAGAATTTGGAGGACCTTCTCTTCATGCAGGGGAGCACAAAGTCCGGCTTTCCGGAAAGCTCCTTTATTGCTACCACACTCCACCAGGTGTGGTTGGCAAGGTGTGACGCAAGCCGTCGTGATGTAAAGTTCCAGCCAAAGAAGGTGATATGCTTGGCGGTGGTAAAGTTTGTCGCGCACGTCAGGGTGTACTGCCTGGCAAGGCAAGTGGCAGCACGGAAGCATGGCGTGGCGGTCGGTGTTGACAACTGGGGTTACCTGGCAGCAGACGAGGCGGAGGTGATGAGACACATATACAGCAAGGGGGCACCGCTGATGTGGAGGAGCAGCTTCAGTTCCGTCTGGAACAATCCGAAGATGACTAATCGGCCACCGTGGGCTCGATATAGGGAATCTACGGTACATGCTACTGTGGCACTTCCCTCCAGATACAGTTACGACTGCCTGATGCGTTTTGTACATTATCCTTTTTTTGTACTTTTCCGTATCAAAAAAAAAAAAAAAAAAAAGGTGAGGGGCACTGGCGCAGGTGAGGGGCGGCGCAGGTGAGGGGCAGCGCTTCCATGCGATTGATCCTCCTGGTATCTCCGCCTTCCTCCACTCGACCTCCTCTTCTTCTTCCCCGCTTCTCCCCCTCTCCCTCCGCTCACTGGCCCGCCTTGACCCCCTTCCCATGGCAGGACAGCAGAGGCGGTGGCGGAGGCGGGCATGAGGGTGGTGGCGCTGGACCTGCTGGGGCTGGGCGCGTCTGACAAGCCGCAAGGCGGGGACTACACCATCGAGGCGTGGGGGCAGGTGAGGGGGGGAGAAGGTGAGTAGTGGGCGCAGGTGAGGGGGGGAGAAGGTGAGTAGTGGGCGCAGGTGACGTGGGGGCGCAGGTGACGTGGGGGCGCAGGTGACGTGGGGGCGCAGGTGACGTGGGGGCGCAGGTGAGGCGCTGCATGGCTGGTTCCAATCCAACTCGCTCTTCGCGCATGCATGCTACTCCCTTGCCTGCCCTCCCATCCCATGCTTTTGCCCCATGCTCACCAACCATTCTTTCCCCCCCATCCCCCCATACCCGCCCGCCCATACCCGCCCTCCCATACCCGCCCTCTCATACCCGCCCTCTCATACCCGCCCTCTCATACCCGATACCCGCCCCTCTCATACCCACCGACTCATTCCCGCCGTCTCATACCCGCCGTCTCATACCCGCGTCTCATTCCTGCTGTCTCATTCCCGCTGTCTCATTCCCACTGTCTCATTCCCGCTGTCTCATTCCCGCCGTCTCATGCCTGTCCTCCTAGCAGATGCTGCAGGATTTCGTATCCGAAGTGGTGCGGTGCAGAGTGGTGCTGGTGGGCAACTCCATCGGAAGCCTCGTTGCGCTTACTGCTGCTGCAGGTTTGCTCTCCTCATTCCTCTCCTGCCTCTCCCCTGCAGGTTTGTTAGGGTTTCCTTGCTCTGCCCCAACGGCCCTTGTCATCAAGAGCAGCTGCAGCTGAAGTCATGCAAGTCGAGGGCTGGAAGGTGCTCCCACGGCCAGTGGAACGCGAGGAGAACCCACGCTGGGAGGACAGGGGTTATGGGGGGGGGGGGTCTGTCAGGGGAGGCGGAGCACGAGGGGGTGGAGAGGGGGACGGGTCGTTGGGGAAGGAAGGAAGGCCGTTGGGGTGCTCTAGAATGAGGTGGGTGGAAGGGGGGAGGTTGCAACGTCTAGGGACGAGGGAGGTGCTAGAGGCGCAACTGCACGCTAGCGACACGGCTATCGGTTGTGAGGGGGATGGCAGCATGACGAGGCACGCCAGACACGAGGATTGGGAGATACAAGAACCTGAGTTGCCTTGATAGCATTGGAGGGGGTACAAACTGTTGAATGAGAAAGGGGGGTCGGTTGGGGTCTTGGCCATCACTGTTCGCCCCCGCCAAGAGGTTGGGGTCTTGGCCATCGCTGTTCGCCCCCGCCAAGAGGTTGGGGTCTTGGCCATCGCTGTTCGCCCCCGCCAAGAGGTTGGGGTCTTGGCCATCGCTGTTCGCCCCCGCCAAGAGGTTGGGGTCTTGGCCATCGCTGTTCGCCCCCGCCAAGAGGTTGGGGTCTTGGCCATCGCTGTTCGCCCCCGCCAAGAGGTTGGGGTCTTGGCCATCGCTGTTCGCCCCCGCCAAGAGGTTGGGGTCTTGGCCCTCGCTGTTCGCCCCCGCCAAGAGGTTGGGTTGGAGTGTTGGGGGCTCCCAACAGTGCTGGCCAAAGATGAGCCACGAGTATTAAGTCTCCCTCCAATAATCTTCCAACCCAACTGTGGGAGCCAAATTACTGGTCAAGGTTGAGTTCTCAAACCCACGCTAGGATACTCCTTGGTGGTGCACCAAGCTAGGTCTCGTTGCCTAATCCAAGCTAGGTCTCGTTGCCTAATCCAAGCTAGGTCTCGTTGCCTAATCCAAGCTAGGTCTCGTTGCCTAATCCAAGCTAGGTCTCGTTGCCTAATCCAAGCTAGGTCTCGTTGCCTAATCCAAGCTAGGTCTCGTTGCCTAATCCAAGCTAGGTCTCGTTGCCTAATCCAAGCTAGGTCTCGTTGCCTAATCCAAGCTAGGTCTCGTTGCCTAATCCAAGCTAGGTCTCGTTGCCTAATCCAAGCTAGGTCTCGTTGCCTAATCCAAGCTAGGTCTCGTTGCCTAATCCAAGCTAGGTCTCGTTGCCTAATCCAAGCTAGGTCTCGTTGCCTAATCCAAGCTAGGTCTCGTTGCCTAATCCAAGCTAGGTCTCGTTGCCTAATCCAAGCTAGGTCTCGTTGCCTAATCCAAGCTAGGTCTCGTTGCCTAATCCAAGCTAGGTCTCGTTGCCTAATCCAAGCTAGGTCTCGTTGCCTAATCCAAGCTAGGTCTCGTTGCCTAATCTTCCCGTGCCAGTTAAGCAGGGCGATGACCCACAGGTCAGATGTGTGTGCGTGGGGTGTGTGGGAGGCTCGTCAGCACTTCAAATATGCGTTCCGTTACTCATCCCATGCCACATCAGCACCTCACGTGTGCCTTCTGTTCCTCATCCCGTGCCGTACGTCCTCGCACTTACTACTCTCACCCCTCACCACCCCTCACTGCCTACCGCCCTGTGTGCCGTGTGCAGCGCTGCCGAGCGAGGAGGTGGCGGGGGTGGTGCTGCTGAACTGTGCGGGCGGGCTGAACAACAAGGCCATTCAGGACGACTGGCGCATCCGCCTCGCGCTGCCCCTCTTCCTCCTCATCGACTGGCTTCTCTCCTTCCCTCCCTTAGCCACTGCCATCTTCAACCGCGTCCGCACCAGGTCAGCCTTGTCCGCACCAGGTCAACCTTCCTCTGCTGCTTTGCCATTTTACCATCTTCTTTTGCCAGCCGCCCATCCTTTTCACTTCCCATCCACTCCCCCTCACAGATCACCCCTTGTATTGTCCCTCATCCCAAGTCTGTCCCCATTCGCTCTCTTCTCCCCAACCCCCCCCTTCCCCCCACTTCCTCTTCCCCCCGCCTCCCTCTCTCCCCGTGGGTAGGGACAACGTGGCATCGGTGCTGCGGGCGGTGTACAGCAACCCCGATGCAGTCGATGACGAGCTCGTGCAGGTGATGCTGATGCTCATGCTGTCGGTGTTGGTGTTGGTGATGGTGCAGGTGATGCTGAGCTCGTGCAGGTCATGCTGATGCTGAATTTGACATTGATAGCCATGATGATGGTGGTGCCATGGCGAGCTGGTGCAGGTGATGGTCAATATGGTGGTGATGCGGACATGCATGCTTTGGTACTTCCTCACGAAGTTCATAGTGTCAACAGATCCACACATCGCATCGTGCACCCACCTCTCATCTCATCTGCCTAGGCACGGGACACAACTCGTGCTGTGTGTGCTACCTAACTGTTGTGCACCCCTCGCCGTGCCTCCCCCCCCCTGCCTATGCAGCTCATATGTGCGCCAGCAGAGGACCCCGGGGCGCTGCACGTGTTCACAGCAGTGCTCACGGGCCCGCCTGGCCCGCGCCCGGAGCACCTGCTGCCACGCATCGAGGCACCGCTGCTACTGCTGTGGGGCGAGCAGGACCCCTTCACGCCGCTGGACGGCCCCGTGGGGCGCTTCTTCTCGCACCTGCCGCAGCAGCGCCCCCTCACCACCATGCTCACGGTCCCCCTGTGCGGCCATTGCCCCCACGACGACCAGCCGGTCGCCGTGCACCAAGCGCTGCTGCCATGGCTCGCCCAGCTCGGCAGCACGAAGTAGTGCATCCATTGTGCTTCCAACGGCATGCATAGGCGCGCTTGCCTGCACAATTGGTGTGGCATGAGAGTTGCCTATTGCATAGAAGAAACCCTAGTAGGGTGTACTGGTAAATGCCTCGCAGTAGGGGTAAAAAAACTTCCTTTCACTAGGTGTTATGTACGCAGTACATACCCAGGCCCCTGGATTGGTTGTGGGGCACGCTGAAAAATCAGAGTCGTCACAAGCACCCTACACGTCATTGGAACCGCACGCGCGACAACCATATAAGAAATAGTCAACGGACTCGACCCGGTATGTGGCGTTCCATCCACCGCGGTAGCAATCACGCGGCCTCCCTTCGTCCCTGTCTTACCCTGGCCCCCCCTCGCTCCCGCTCCCCCCTCGCTCCCGCTCCCCCCTCGCTCCCGCTCCCCCCTCGCTCCCGCTCCCCCCTCGCTCCCGCTCCCCCCTCGCTCCCGCTCCCCCCTCGCTCCCGCTCCTCCCGTCGCCCCCGCTCCTCCCGTCGCCCCTGCTCCTCCCGTCGCCCCCGCTCCTCCCATCGCCCCCGCTCCTCCCGTCGCTCCCGCTCCTCATGTCCCTCTCGTCCCTCATCCCATTGGCTCCCGTCCCTCTTCCCGTTGCTCCCGTCCCTCCCGTCCCTTCTGTCCCTCCCGTCCCTTCCCTCCCTCCCGTCCCTCCCGTCCCTCCCGTCCCTCCCGTCCCTCCCGTCCCTCCCGTCGCTTCCATCCCTTCCATCCCTCCCGTCCCTTCCGTCCCTCCCGTCCCTCCCGTCGCTTCCGTCCCTCCCGTCGCTTCCGTCCCTCCCGTCACCCACGTCGCACCCGTCGCTCTCTTCCCTTCGGTTCCTCTCGTCCCTCTGTGTCTCTCGCATTCCTTCCCTCTTCGCCTCTCCCCTTTCCCTACACTGTTCTACCCTCTGCGCTGCGTCCCCATTTCCCTGTGCGCGGTTCCCCCCCTTTCCTACCCGCAGCTTCCCCACTTCCCTACGTGCAGCTTCAACCCTCGCATGCGCGCAGTTTCCCCCCCTTCCCTACAAGCGGCTTCAACCCTTCCCTAGGCACAGTTTCCCCGCTTTCCTACGTGCAGTTTCCACCTCTTCTAAACACCATTTTCCCCCTGCCCTACGCACACCTTCCACCCTTCCCTATTCGATGCCTCTCCCTTCCCATCTCGCATTTTCAATCCCCGAGCACAAGCAAGAGGCCACAAGGCCAGTTCACATGCAGTGTTATAATAACAAAAGCAACAAAATTATCACAACCTAGCAAGTATAAACGTGCAAGTATAAATATATTTAGCAGAATACAGCAAGTGCAAGACAAGCTCAAGAGGAAAGCAAGTGAGGCAGGGTAGGCACCAGGCCAAGAGTAGTACAGAAACATGGATGATCATTAGACCCAATGGTTTTGGTGAAAATATCAGCGGTGTTGGCTTGAGAGGCCTCGTAAGAAAGCGAAACTGACCACGCTGCTGTAACTCTAGCACAAGAATATCGAAGTGCAATATGCTTCGTTCTTTGCTCCAGTCTTGCTCCCGACACAAGGTTATCATGGCCTTGTTGTCGACGTAAAGAACTGGAGGAGAACGAGGCCGCTCACCCAAGTCCGTAAGCATGTAGGTTAACCAGCGTAAATCCTGCGCAGCCATAGCCCCAGCGTAGATATTGGCCTCACGGGTGGAGCCAAGCACAGAAGACGAGCGAGTGGATCTCCATGAGACAGTGCCAGTGCTGAGACTGGAAGTGTAGCCTGTGAAGACCAGGAAATCGCTTGGTCGTCAGCACACGAAGCGTCTGAGTGCCCTAAGATCTCAACTCCGCCCCGTCCCCCAAGCACAAGCCCCATGCCTGATGTACTGGCCAAGTAGCGGAGCACCCTCGCAACAGCCCGCCAGTGCCCAGGGTGGTGTCTCCCGAAGGCTGAGTGCACGGCATCAGGTACATGAGGTAACCCACAAGCTTTAAATATGGACCACTCGGGTCAACAGATTCATCCGAAGGTGGAGCTGGGAGCGAGTGCAACCAATTCACACATCGCATCGTGCACCCACCTCTCATGTCATATGCCTTGGCAAGGGAAACAACTCGTGCTGCGTGTGCTACCTAACTATTGTGCACCCCTCGCCCTGCCTCCCCCTGCCTCTGCAGCTCATATGTGCGCCAGCAGAGGACCCCGGGGCGCTGCAGGTGTTCATAGCAGTGCTCACGGGCCCGCCTGGCCCGCGCCCAGAGCACCTGCTGCCACGCATCGAGGCACTGCTGCTACTGCTGTGGGGCGAGCAGGACCCCTTCATGCCGCTCGATGGCCCCGTGGGGCGCTTCTTCTCGCACCTGACGCAGCACCGCCCCCTCACCACCATGCTCACGGTCCCCGCCACTACCCCCACGACGACCAGCCGGTCGCTGTGCACCAAGCGCTGCTGCCATGGCTCGCCCAGCTCAGTAGCACGAAGTAGTGCATCCATTGTGCTTCCAACGGCATGCATAGGCACGCTTGCCTGCACAAGTGGTGTGGCATGAGAGTTGCCTATTGCATAGAAGAAGCCCTAGTAGGGTGTACTGGTAAATGCCTCGCAGTAGGGGGACAAAAACTTCCTTTCAATAGGTGTTATGTATGCAGAACATACTCAAGCCCCTAGATTAGTTGCGAGGCACGCTAAAAAATCAGAGTCGTCACAAGCACCCTACATGTCACTAGAACCGCACGCACGACAACCATACAAGAAATAGTCAACGGGCTCGGCCCGGTATGTGGCGTTCCATCTGCCGCGGTAGCAACCTTTTGCTCCTGGCCAATCTCCTCCAACAGCCTCCTCAGCCAAATCACCTCCTTGACCCCATGGAACATCGCCATGTACTCTGATTCCACAGAAGAGAGTGCTGTCTCCGTCTGCTTCTTTGACCTCCAACTAACAGGTCCTCCTCCAACTACGCAGATGTATCCTCCCACTGATGAGGAATCCTCCTTCTTAGATTGGTTGCGGGGCACGCTAAAAAATCAGGGTCGTCACAAGCACCCTACATGTCACTAGAACCGCACGCACGACAACCATACAAGAAATAGTCAACGGGCTCGGCCCGGTATGTGGCGTTCCATCTGCCGCGGTAGCAACCTTTTGCTCCTGGCCAATCTCCTCCAACAGCCTCCTCAGCCAAATCACCTCCTTCACCCCATGGAACATCGCCATGTACTCTGATTCCACAGAAGAGAGTGCTGTCTCCGTCTGCTTCTTTGACCTCCAACTAACAGGTCCTCCTCCAACTACGTAGATGTATCCTCCCACTGATGAGGAATCCTCCTTCTTAGAGGCCCACGTAGCATCGGTAAAGCAAGTGAGAAAGAGCTTGCCTTCTCCAAGCCTCTCCCCCTTCTCTTTCAGCACCTCAACCCCTTTCTGCTTCACCTATGCAGATGCGGAGTATTGAACTCCAATGCTTGGGTGAGAGTTCAGATACTTCACCACATGCTCAGCTGCATCCACATGCTCAAAAACTTCCTTTCAATAGGTGTTATGTATGCAGAACGTACTCAGGCCCCTAGATTGGTTGCGGGGCACGCTAAAAAATCAGAGTCGTCACAAGCACCCTACATGTCACTAGAACCGCACGCACGACAACCATACAAGAAATAGTCAACGGGCTCGGCCCGGTATGTGGCGTTCCATCTACCGCGGTAGCAATCGCGCAGCCTCCCTTCGTCCTAGTCTTACCCTTGTCCCCCCTCCCTCCCGTCACACACGTCGCTTACATCCCTCCGGTCGCTCTCGTAGCCAGCTCCCGCTCCCCCCTCGCGCGTCTGAGTACCCTGTGAGCACAACTGGGCCCAGTCCCCGAAGCACAAACCCCATGCCTAATGTACTAGCCAAGTAGCGGAGCACCCTCGTAGCAGCCCGCCAGTGCCCAGGGCAGTGTCTCCGAGATGCTAAGTGCACGGCATCAGGTACATGAGGTAACCCACAAGCTTTGAATATGGACCACTCGGCTCAACAGATTCGTCCGCAAGTGGAGCTGAGAGCGAGTGGCTGTCACAGGATTACATTGACTAGCATGAGCCAAGCGGGAGGGCAACAAAATACTGAGACAACAATATGCCGTAAGGGAGTAGCATACAAGGATGGTGCTGTACCAGGCATGATGTCGGAAATTCTATCCCCCTTCCTCTCTGGCCGAAACTCCTTTGAGGAATTGTATGTCTTTCTCCTTATGCCTCGTGCCCTTACCTGACCAGCTTGGCCCCCTCATCCCTTCCCCAATGCTCTTAGTTCCCGGTTTCCCTTGCTCTGAATCATAGCAGCCTCACCTACTTAAAAAGCTAGTGACTCTCCTCTAGCGGGGAGCACCTAGGGTTTCAGATCTGATTAGCTCGGCTGACTCCAAGCATTGGAGGTCCGGTTACTCAGTAATTTGCGAGGTTGGCTTCGTGAAGGTGGCGTAGGCAACGAGTACTATCTAGCGAGATCCACTTGAAGTACGAAAACAAACACGCAAGCAAGGAGCACACACCCCTACCTAGCCTTAAGTAATTGAATTTTTTACCGTTTCTCAACGGCCTCTACCTTTTAATTCCCTCCGCAATTCCCCGCCATCTCCCAATTGAGGCATCCCCTCTCTAGTTATCCTCGCTACTTCCCTAGTCATGAATATATATTGTGTTCACCTACTGCTACAATTATAATCATGACAATGAGCCGAGGGCAAAGCGAGTCATCAACTACAATGGGGATACGGAGGCAGTGGGCTGCAAACAAAGTGTGGAATGCGGTATGAATGTGTGCACTGTACATAAGTGTGGCTTGTCGGATTGGTGTGAGAAGTGTATGAGGCGTGCATGTTTCTGTCCCTTGCTCTGAATGTGTGCTTTCAAGACAGAGCCGAGGAGCTGCAAACGCGGACAAGCGCATCAACCTGTCAGCTGGCAAGTAAAGCAACGAGTGTGAGGATCTAGGATTGGTGGCGGTAGCTGCCGTCCCTGGAACTGTTGGTTGGGGTCCTTGTAGGGTTT